GTAAGTCTTATTACACACTGCCATGATTTAAATTTATCAGGAGAGGCACTTGTGCACAGCGCTGTAAAGATAGCAGGTGGGGGAGGGGAGAGAGGGGGGGGGGGGGGGTAACATCGATACAAGATGGGGAAGAAGGGTTAGAGAGCAACAGTAGGACATTACTAGTGTGGATGGGGTGTGTGCAGCTCATCCGACCACTGGTCTTGAGAGTCTAGAAGTAGTGCCTGCTCTAGGATTTCAAACCAACCGGGTACTGTAAAACATGTAATTTTAGGTGCATTAAAATCTCGGTGCCAGGAACCTGCCAGGTTTCAGGTGTAATGTAGAATTAGGTGACCAGCGTTCCCTTCACATACAGTGCTTACTCTAGTGCCGTTTAGGTGTAATTTAAATTTAGGTGCCTGGTTTTTCTACCGAAATCACCGAAATTAAAGTTTACACCGAAAATTACAAGTTTTACAGTACTGTAGAACGGGTAATTCTAGCAAATATTAATTTTAGCGTTTTCCCATTTTCAACCGGTTAGCAACGTTTTATTTTAGCGATTTGCAGCGATTTTACTCACGGATCACCAGTGCACTACTGATGTCTCAACGGATTAGCGACTTGAAACTTTCGCGAAAATGAGTCGATCGCTAAATTCGCTAGGGTTTTTACGTCGCTAAAATTACCCGTTCTACAGTATTCGTGTGTCTGGCACAAGTCTTGCAACCGACATCAAAATGTCTTTCCAGCTTTAAAAATGCACTCCGATCGCATAATGTAGTACGATAGGATCTCATTGCTGGATTCTTGTCTATCCTTCTTTCTTCTCTTTTTCTATATTCCTTTCTTTTCTTTTCTTGCCGTGGTTGGCTATCACCCCTCTCTCGCACTTTGCGTGCCAATTGGTCATGAACCACGAGTTGAGTGAAATAAATAAATAAATAAATAAACCCGGTCAGAGCCGGGTACACGCCTATAGTCTGTCATGCCCTGTGTGTACCCTGTTGAAGTACAGAAAAGGTACTCCGACATGACAATCATCAAGAGTATATAACCCCCAGAGTGTGCAACGCCTGATCCAGCTCTGCATAGGGTCTCGGTCGAGCGTAGTCGGATCTTCTGATGTCATGCGTACACTCCACACCGGCGCAAGGACGGTCTCGAGGCAGGGCACCGCTGTTTTTGATCTGAGAGTCCCCGCGACTTCCCGGGTTCCCCTCAGATGTGTACGGTATTGTGACGCAAAGATCCGACTACGTTCGACCAAGACCCTATGCAGAGCTGGATCAGGCGTCGCACACTCTGGGGGGTTATGTACTCTTCCTAGTATCAAGAGTACAGTACATAATCCACCGGTTATGTACTCTTGCTGTCATGTACATGTATACTGCCAACCGGGTCGCAAGTGACCCGGTGTTCTTTTTCCAAACGGGTCCAAGTAGCCAACCTCCCCCCCCCCCCCATCCCCCAACCGGGTCACTGACCCGGCTCTGGAGTAGACACTGGAGTCCTAGCAGCACAAACACATCATAGGGAGAAAAAATAACAGAAATAGTGATTCCCGTTATGGTCCTCAGATGTTGGGGGGGCGGGGGGGGGGGGGGCATTAGCTCCGCCGGTAGGGTTCAGTTGCCTAGCACAACAGCTATTTAGATTGTATAATGTACGCAAACTTCTGGTGTACGGAGTGTGCAAAGAGGGACTAATCAGCTTTATGGCAGTGAATACTCAATCTGCGGACAGAAATGTTTTGTTCTTTGTGGACTCGTCAGAGCAGCACAGAGAAAATGAGGCCGAACCTGATGGCAATGAAAAATAAATTTTCCAAAGCCAGATTCAGACCAGGTCCGAGTGTACCTTGCCAAAGTACTCAAACTGACAGTTGAATCACAGTGTTGGCCATCTAACTTGCAGTGCAGGAGATCGGAGTTTTCTACAATGTGTACGGCAGGGAAATAACATCTTGCTTGCAGACACCGGCATGAACAACTCACCAGCACACTCCACGACAGCAGGCAGTAGTAGTAGATGCTCCTATGAAACAGTATCACTTTGTTCAACCCCTTTCATTCTATACGCGTGCTTCTCCTCTGCTTATGTCCCTTCATCTTAATATGGAGCGAACCTAATATGGAGCGAAACTAGACTTGTCAGGAGCAACTACTGCTGCTACTACTACTACTACTACTACTACTACTACTGCTGCTGCTGCTGCTGCTGCTGCTGCTGCTGCTGCTGCTGCTGCTGCTGCTGCTGCTGCTGCTGCTGCTGCTGCTGCTGCTGCTGCTGCTGCTGCTGCTGCTGCTGCTGCTGCTGCTGCTGCTGCTGCTGCTGCTGCTGCTGCTGCTGCTGCTGCTGCTGCTGCTGCTGCTGCTGCTGCTGCTGCTGCTGCTGCTGCTGCTGCTGCTGCTGCTGCTGCTGCTGCTGCTGCTGCTGCTGCTGCTGCTGCTGCTGCTGCTGCTGCTGCTGCTGCTGCTGCTGCTGCTGCTGCTGCTGCTGCTGCTGCTGCTGCTGCTGCTGCTGCTGCTGCTGCTGCTGCTGCTGCTGCTGCTGCTGCTGCTGCTGCTGCTGCTGCTGCTGCTGCTGCTGCTGCTGCTGCTGCTGCTGCTGCTGCTGCTGCTGCTGCTGCTGCTGCTGCTGCTGCTGCTGCTGCTGCTGCTGCTGCTGCTGCTGCTGCTGCTGCTGCTGCTGCTGCTGCTGCTGCTGCTGCTGCTGCTGCTGCTGCTGCTGCTGCTGCTGCTGCTGCTGCTGCTGCTGCTGCTGCTGCTGCTGCTGCTACTGCTACTGCTACTGCTACTGCTACTGCTACTGCTACTGCTACTGCTACTGCTACTGCTACTGCTACTGCTACTGCTACTGCTACTGCTACTGCTACTGCTACTGCTACTGCTACTGCTACTGCTACTGCTACTGCTACTGCTACTGCTACTGCTACTGCTACTGCTACTGCTACTGCTACTGCTACTACTACTACTACTACTACTACTACTACTACTACTACTACTACTACTACTACTACTACTACTACTACTACTACTACTACTACTACTACTACTACTACTACTACTACTACTACTACTACTACTACTACTACTACTACTACTACTACTACTACTACTACTACTACTACTACTACTACTACTACTACTACTACTACTACTACTACTACTACTACTACTACTACTACTACTACTACTACTACTACTACTACTACTACTACTACTACTACTACTACTACTACTACTACTACTACTACTACTACTACTACTACTACTACTACTACTACTACTACTACTACTACTACTACTACTACTACTACTACTACTACTACTACTACTACTACTACTACTACTACTACTACTACTACTACTACTACTACTACTACTACTACTACTACTACTACTACTACTACTACTACTACTACTACTACTACTACTACTACTACTACTACTACTACTACTACTACTACTACTACTACTACTACTACTACTACTACTACTACTACTACTACTACTACTACTACTACTACTACTACTACTACTACTACTACTACTACTACTACTACTACTACTACTACTACTACTACTACTACTACTACTACTACTACTACTACTACTACTACTACTACTACTACTACTACTACTACTACTACTACTACTACTACTACTACTACTACTACTACTACTACTACTACTACTACTACTACTACTACTACTACTACTACTACTACTACTACTACTACTACTACTACTACTACTACTACTACTACTACTACTACTACTACTACTACTACTACTACTACTACTACTACTACTACTACTACTACTACTACTACTACTACTACTACTACTACTACTACTACTACTACTACTACTACTACTACTACTACTACTACTACTACTACTACTACTACTACTACTACTACTACTACTACTACTACTACTACTACTACTACTACTACTACTACTACTACTACTACTACTACTACTACTACTACTACTACTACTACTACTACTACTACTACTACTACTACTACTACTACTACTACTACTACTACTACTACTACTACTACTACTACTACTACTACTACTACTACTACTACTACTACTACTACTACTACTACTACTGAACTTCGCCTTTATTTGAAAAACTACTACTACTACTACTACTACTACTACTACTACTACTACTACTACTACTACTACTACTACTACTACTACTACTACTACTACTACTACTACTACTACTACTACTACTACTACTACTACTACTACTACTACTACTACTACTACTACTACTACTACTACTACTACTACTACTACTACTACTACTACTACTACTACTACTACTACTACTACTACTACTACTACTACTACTACTACTACTACTACTACTACTACTACTACTACTACTACTACTACTACTACTACTACTACTACTACTACTACTACTACTACTACTACTACTACTACTACTACTACTACTACTACTACTACTACTACTACTACTACTACTACTACTACTACTACTACTACTACTACTACTACTACTACTACTACTACTACTACTACTACTACTACTACTACTACTACTACTACTACTACTACTACTACTACTACTACTACTACTACTACTACTACTACTGAACTTCGCCTTTATTTGAAAAACTACTACTACTACTACTACTACTACTACTACTACTACTACTACTACTACTACTACTACTACTACTACTACTACTACTACTACTACTACTACTACTACTACTACTACTACTACTACTACTACTACTACTACTACTACTACTACTACTACTACTACTACTACTACTACTACTACTACTACTACTACTACTACTACTACTACTACTACTACTACTACTACTACTACTACTACTACTACTACTACTACTACTACTACTACTACTACTACTACTACTACTACTACTACTACTACTACTACTACTACTACTACTACTACTACTACTACTACTACTACTACTACTACTACTACTA